TCCTTAGTTTTCATTTAGTACTTTTCACCATATCACGTAGGAACTCCTCAGTTTTCATTTAGTGCTTTCACCATATCACGTAGGAACTCCTCAGTTTTCATTTAGTGCTTTCATCATATCACGTAGGTAATTTTTAGTTTTCATTTAGTGCTTTTCACTATATCACGTAGGCACTCCTTAGTTTTCATTTAGTACTTTTCACCATATCACGTAGGAACTCCTCAGTTTTCATTTAGTGCTTTCATCATATCACGTAGGAACTCCTCAGTTTTCATTTAGTGCTTTCATCATATCACGTAGGTAATTTTTAGTTTTCATTTAGTGCTTTTCACTATATCACGTAGGTACTCTTTAGTTTCATTTAATGCTTTTCACTATACCACGTAAGTACTCTTTAGCTTTCATCTAGTGCTTTTCACTATATCACGTTTGTACTCCTTAGTTTTCATTTAGTGCTTTTCACTATATTACGTAGGTACTCCTTAGTTTTCATTTAGTGCTTTCCACTATATCACGTAAGTACTCTTTAGTTTTCATTTAGTGCTTTTCACTACATCACTTAGGGACTCTTTAGTTTTCATTTAGTGCTTTTCACTATATTACGTAGGTACTCCTTAGTTTTCATTTAGTGCTTTTCACTATATCACGTAGGTACTCTTTAGTTTTCATTTAGTGCTTTTCACTACATCACTTAGGGACTCTTTAGTTTTCATTTAGTGCTTTTCACTACATCACTTAGGGACTCTTTAGTTTTCATTTAGTGCTTTCATTATATCACGTAGGTACTATTTAGTTTTCCTTTAGTGCTTTTCACTATGTCACGTAGATACTCTTTAGTTTTCCTTTAGTGTTTTTACTATATCACGTAAGTACTCTTCAACTTTCATCTTGTGCTTTTCACAATGTCACGCAGGTAGCTTTGAGCCAATGGCTATTGTTTTTCCCTGGATCATGCAGGTACCCTAGAGTTGTCAGTTACTGCTTTTCACTCACAATTCGCCGGACGCTAACTAATACCACCGCTTCAATTATATACGCATGAGCCTAGTTGTATTATGTTTAATTGGTTATGTTTACTTATAACTCCGCTAGGCTTTTTGGTACATTTAATAAAAATATAACTTGTCTTTTTTATTTCTATAGTTTAGAAGTGCATATAAGTTTTCAGTGTTTGTTTAGTAAAAACGTAACGTAAATAATTTTTAGGGGCAACATAAAAAGAGTGATATCAATTGTACACAAATAATTTTTTACTGGATCATTGGAAATTCCGGCAAAATAGTTTAACAATACTTCAAGTCTCCTCTATTAGATACCTGTAATGATACAGTTAAGACTGACGTGCTTTGAATAATAATTAATATTAGACTCACTGTGATGCTGCGTCATCACTAACTTCGGTGTTACACAAGATACAAAATAAAACGTTATTATTTTCTGGAATTTTCCTTGAATAACTACCGGGGAAATGGATTTCCCAGAAAACATTTATGTCATTGCATATAGAGGGAAGAAAAAGAACCTCTAGCAACTAATAATTAATGATAGGGTATGAAAATCAGTTAATAATCTCTACGTGTGATACAGCTCACTAGTTTTCTGCGAATTTCAGATACTTAAAGTGTAAATAAAATTGAATTATTATCGAATCTAATCAAACAAAAACATTATATTGGCTATAATGCCCACTTACGTAATTAACCTAAGAGAAAGAAGGCAAGTCTTCTCTGAAATTCAGATACATAAAGTGTAAATAAGAATGGACCGATTTCGAAGACAATCAATAAAAAACACTGTGTTAGCTATATCAGCATGTGTATGTTTCGCAGTTTTAGATGTTAGTCGTTAAAGTAACTAGAACTCTGTGTTTGAGTGTTGTACTTGATAACATAATGTATATCCTCGCATTAAAGCCAAACAAGTTGCAATTTTAACATCCCAGATGTTAGTCGTTAAAGTAACTAGAACTCTGTGTTTGAGTGTTGTACTTGGTAACATAATGTATATCCTCGCATTAAAGCCAAACAAGTTGCAATTTTAACATCCCTCTCTTGGCTTCTTAGTGAGCTACTGAGATTCTTAACCTTTGTTTATGGTTTAAAAAACTGCTTTTCATTAGCGACCATATTGTGTTAATTATCGTAATGAATTTGAAACCCGTGAGTGGAGTGAACAGGTTTGATGCAAGGATTAAAAAAAAAGAGATTTTTCGTGGTGGGACAAATTCCTAATATCACTGTAACGTCCAGTACCTTGCCGAAGGCTGTTTGATATTGACCTCCGAATTCAAATCATTTCATCTCTTTATAAAGACAGTTATATTAAAAGCACTGGAAGTTGTTTCCAACTAAACACTTTAGAATTCAGAGTTTTTACGGAAAAACGAAACGACTTTTCAGTTGTGGAACAAATCAGAGAACTGGTGAGACAGTTGTCTCACCTACATACACATCATTGTAAAGCCTTGTTTGTAATAATGAAAAAATAACATTGAAACGGCGATTTTCGTTGTCTCTGTGTCTGTTTGTACGCAGTGGATTGGCATCTACGTGTTGGAACTCAGAATATAGACAACAGGCCATACACTTTCGCCCCTCTATTATGCAACTTTTTTTTTTTAGCACGATGCGTTTTCCCGGAAAATTGAGTTTTACAAAATAGGTTTAAACGAAGATTTTATGTATAAGGCAGTCATAAATGTTTTAATATTGATTAGAGTGGACTCTGAAAACTGACGAGTGAAAAAAGAATAATAATTTGTAATAATATGTCAATTACGCTATGTCTGTCATAACCAGTACCGGCGAGACCTTTCGCCTAGTACCAGGTCTCATCAAGCCGGCTGGGATACAACAAACGTAGTAGTGGTCTAGGAGCTATTTATATCACCAGCTTTAAAAACCAACGACTGTTATGGTGTGGATTAATTAAGAAAGTAAAGTGTAATTATTATCAACTTTACTTAAGTCATATTGAATGTCTTATCAAAGAAAGCATGAATTATATAATACGGTGAAATTATATTACACAACTGACATTCATTTCAAAGTAGTTAGCTGAACGTTAAAAATCTTTGTTATAACAATAACTAAAGGTTGTTAGAGGAGACAGAATGCGAGCGGATTTGAAATGGTAAAGCCGATCCTCATTAAAATCTGATCTGTTTGACTTAATCACCACTAAGGAAAAATAATTGGACCTGAAATCATCTTGTGTTAAGTACATTTACACATTTCCATCACATGATTGAAAATGTCAAAATGTTTGTACTTAACTGGTACAAAAAAAGCATTTGTTTTATAATACTGATGAATGTTAGTGCTATTAATATAGATATATATATATATTGATATAGGAAAAGTGAACGTACTATACCATATAAAACATAAGTTATAGTATAGTAAGGGGGTTTACATTTATTTTGCAAATGATTCTTTTTTCAAAGAATCAGATAAATTTAAATCATATATGGTATTGGAATAAAGTTGGGTTGTTTGTTATGGAATATTCATGAAGAGATTCATAAGGGTTATCCTTGAATTAATAGTCCAGGAAAAAAAGGCAGATAGTGAATAGCAGCTACCGCTAACCCTTGGACTATAATGTGATTTGATAGTCACTCTTATAACGCACCTATGGCCTCAATGTGCAGAGAGTATTTTTGCAGCGACGTAACGCTAACCATGGACCCTCAGTTCAGCACGCTACCTACTAGGACATGCCTGGCCTGATAACATTGGCGATATTACACTGTAACTCTCAAAATATTAAGAAATTTAAATTCCTGCCCTTTTTTCCAGTTCATTCTAACGATATGTTATTTGCATTGAGAAAAGAGCATTTATGGGAAATATTTTATTGTATTATGAAAAGCAAGAATTATTGATCGTTTATAAAAAAAACTTGTTCAGAGGGTGATATAAAACCAATTCTATCTACGAAAATATTATATTTTTGGTTGATGAGAGTAAAGATGAAAATAATGGTAAAGGAAAGTCAAGAACTTATTTAAGCGGGTTTTTACAATGACATTCTGAGACACAAGGAAGTCAGTTTGAACATGTTGATTTTCTTAAATCACTATGATGACAAATGCTATTATGTTAAAGCTTGTGAAGATGACCATCTTTAACAGGTTTTTCTTATTTTCATGCCAATACTTTTGAGTTTCTATAGCTTATATTTTACTTACTTTTATATCTGGAGTGAAAACATTAATAAAAAGACAGTTTTCATCACCACTTAGTCCGCCCTGGTCATCCACTTGTGGACATGACGACCTGAAGTTATCAGCATCAAGGATGCCGCTCCAGCCTGGATGTCGAACTGGACGCTAAAAAAAACTACAATATTAAATATAAAGTAATAAAAATAAATGTACAAAAACCACAAGACATATTTATGATATTTTAATGCCGTTTGTTTCATAGGAAGGACATTTTTATAACAGGTTTACAGCTATTTAATTTATCACGAAAGTGTGCTTATGGTGGTCTGGGTATTATGAATTACCTTTAACAAGCTGCTTAATATAATGTAATTTCTGACAAAATATACCGTTTGTAACCGGCAGTATTTGTATGAAATATCTGAAAGAAATATTTGTAAAATATATTTAGAGGATTTTTTTTTCTCAAAAGTAAAAACAACAACAACAAGTAAATCAAAATTGAAGTAAAACATTCTTTAAAGTCATAAAATGGTTAATATAAGTAATTTTAAAGATTCGTTTTTTTTTGGATATCAAGATATTGTTGCGTATGAATATTCCATTATTTCGAAGTCGTTAGGTTCAACCTACTTACTTATCAATGCACTATTATTTGTGAATTAAATGTTTGATTTTACTTGCCTTTGAATGAATATGATTTTCGTAATGGGAAACAAATTAGAAATCGTAAAAATCATTACTCTTATTATTAGTGAACTTAACGTTTTGGTTCACATCTTTCATAAAAATATTGTCCCTCTCAAAATTATCAAAGATTAACAAAATTTTATTATTATAGAAAGCAAACAAATTAAGTCATAAACCTTGGCACGTCTATTTAAAAATTTCAGAATAAGAAAACGTTTAAACCTTTATATCTCCATCTAGACATGTCACGAGAAGGCACTTGATTTAAAATACATTTGATGTTAAATATTCTCTAACTAAAGATATCAATCAAGATTTCTGGTTGAAGCAAAATCAAATCTATACAGTTCACACGCTATAAACAGTGTTGTGGAAAGAGTTAAAAATAAACATACATCACTGATCTCCAAAAAAAAATAAAAAAAATATTTGCCCCGAATTTAAATAAACTTACTTATAATTATATCACAAAAAAACGTAGGGTGAAAGTTACATCTTATCTGAAAGAGAAAGCCTGAAAAACCTATATTTTTAATACTTCCAACGAATCCAAGGGGGTATTCAGAAAGAAAAGAGTCGTTTTTCGTGTGAGCAATCCATATCAGATTATGACCAACAAACATGCATCAATGCTGTAGAGAATATAGAAAACCAAATATCACTTCTCAACTTAAGTACAGTGTATTTCCTCCAGATATAATTTTTCAACACAGTTTTTAAGTGGACCGTACTTAACCCTCCAGATATCACTTCTCAACACAGTACAATGTATTTCCTCCAGATATAATTTTTCAACACAGTTTTTGTTAAGTACGGTCCACTTCCTCCAGATATCACTTCTCAACACAGTTCTGGTTAAGTACGGTCCACTTCCTCCAGATATCACTTCTCAACACAGTTCTGGTTAAGTATAATGTATTTCCTCCAGATATAATTTTTCAACACAGTTTTTGTTAAGTACGGTCCACTTCCTCCAGATATCACTTCTCAATATTGTTCTCGTTAAATACAATGCACTTCTTCCATTTTCTCTCAGTTTCATCGTATTAGTTTAGTAGAATGCAGTAGTGGAATTACAAATCGAAAAGCGTGCAGTCATTAGTTCTCTGAAAGTGTTACACACGCAGATCGTTCTTTATTAAAACGCTACAAAATACTAGGCCAGGACTATAAGAGTATAAGAAAGACTGTCCACCTAAATGTCTCAGTTCCAGTTTTTGGAGCACGTTATTCAAGTCCAATATTTCTTGCAGTTATTCGCAATCTATCACTTATTACATATGATGCCGCTAACAGCATACATAAAATGTCTTGTTAATATCGCCATTCATCGATCCTAATTTAAATACTCACACTCAAAATATGCAGAACAAAATCCGTTTCTGTCTGAACATCTGTCGTAGTTATTTAATTATTTGCTCTAAAACAACAGTTTTATTTTAGCGAAAACAGTTTAATTGGATAAAATTAAAGCTTTGTTTTCGAGTTTGAAATTTTATATTAAAGATGTAAACACTGATGTTTGAAACAACGTTTAGAAGGTTGATAATATCAATAATTAGAAACATTGAAAGCTGACTTACTCTAAACCTTAACGGCCCGAGCGGGGGAGTAGCGAAAGGAATGCCCATGAAACCATAGAATTCTCGTCCTGTTTGTGTCCGAAGAATTCGACCTCGAACTTTGCCTTGTGGAATTTTGACTTCAAGGTTGATTCCTTGACCCCCATGAAAGAGAAAAAGAAGAGAAACAAGGCAAAAACTCCAGGAATGCCGTGAAATCTGAAAAACAGTTTTATTTTCATCACTACTTACAGAAAATAGATACAGAAAGAGAACTTATTATAATATGCATATTAATACAATATTGTCGTATTGTACAATTTTCTGGTACTTGTGTGACAGAAGTTCAAACAGAATATTCACTGTCTGTAGTTCGAATAACAGATAAATATTATGCTGTTTGTGAGCTAGTGTTATTGTTGTAGAATATATACATATATTATTTAGAGTTTTATATTGTTTCACTAGAGAGAGTTTCATGTAGAGTGATGAGTGTGTGACTTAACGTCTGGAATTTTCTTCAAACTGTAGGAAATAATTTGAGCGGTATAAAGATGACTGGTACAATATCATAATATAGTTCTTATACATTCCGTACCATCATAGCTATGTATGACTGTGTTTGCCACTTGACTTGCTGATTTGCATGTTCAAAATCGTTTTACTATAACGTACTCAACCCTGTATATAGTGCTTTTCGATGGAATAATAACACCAGAAACATGTTTTCTTTCACTTTTTAACCAATAAGATAAACAAATATATTATATTGTATTACGATTCGACCTTAGAATTATATCAAGCAAAACTTCTTTTTTTTTCCACAAAAGCCGTGATTCCTACATGACAAATACGTTTAACTAAATCACTTACGACGTGGTATGAATATACATTTTGTAGAGCCACGTTGTTCGTTAGATCGCTTGTGTTTATTAAACATTTAACATATTATATAAATGAAAATGAGCTGTCACCGATTTTGGTTTGTGAAACATCAGTTAATCCAATAAAAAAAAGACGAAGACGTCGAGTGATAAATTCCGATTCCCTAAAAATAAATCATTATTTTAAAGTCCAATGCTGTGTTTTAATTTGAGTTGATATACGGAGTTTACTACTAAATAGTAAGACACCCCCAGCTATTAACTTTTTATTATGTTGTAATTACGGAGAAAAGTTGTTCTAATAATATTTTTAATTACTTATTTTAGAAATACTTACTTATTTTTTACCGTTTGTTTGTTTCAAAAGTTTCGCGCAAAGCTACCCAAAAAAAATCTACGCATAACCGTTCCTAATTTTCCACTGACGGATTTGAGGGAAGGAAACTAGTCAACAACACCCACTGCCATCTCTTGCGCTATTCGTGTCCATCACACTTATAATCCATTCACGGGGGGTCCTAAGTACGGGGCGCATCATTTCTCATAGAAAGTGAATATTAAAAATGAAATGTTTGATTTACGTTATGCTTCTTCGTTTGTTTGCTTTGTTTTGTAATTAATCACAAAGCTACACAATGGGCTATCTGTGCTCTGCCCACCACAGGTATCGAAACCCGGATTCTAGCGTTGTAAATCCGCAGACATGCCGCTGTGCCAGTGAAAGGTATGATTCTGTGTGTTTTTATTTGTTGTAAAACTTGCGGCTGGAATAGAACCCTAAATTTAGTGTTATAAGCCTTCAAGTTTACTGCTGAACCACTTTGGAGCTTATGTAACATGTAACTTTTCAATGTTATATGTGTATAATACTTATAATGCTTCAGATTTATTACGAAAATAAACTGTCGAAAAATTATTTTCTGTCAACTCTTAAGTATTCATCCTCTTACAAAAGTGGTTATATTAATTTCAGCAGTCCATTAGTTTCATCATTAAACCTAGTAGTGTTTTTATGCTGATCTTACCTCAATAATCATAACTGGAGTCGCTTTTCTGCCTACAAGCTTTAGTTGTCATCACCTTGGTTACTCATTTTTCTCCTGGCATATCAGTGTCAGTGCCATTAGTACCATACTTTCTGTATCATGACGAGAACATGTTTGATTCTACATATAAGCAGACCTGATCCACTTTTCTATTGAAGCTTTTCCACTTACATATGCATTCCCACATACGACAAATACCTCAACTACAACAATAACCTGGTAGAGGTTTATTTTTGTAACCTCAACCAGTTTATACCTGTAATGTTTCAACAGGATGGACATATGTACGGATTTTCAAACTTCCCGTCCCATTGAACGTGAAACCAGTTGTATAGTGTCTTCCGACGAAAAACACAATCTGATAATATTTTGTTCTTAAAAACTATATAAAATATTTGTGTGTGGTTTAGAGTTGCATACGTTCTAACCAAACATATACGAATATTACTGAAATTTACGGAACGCAAAATTTAACCTTGTTTGCGTTTGAATAGTCGATAAAAGCTAAACAAAGACTATATGTGCTAGCTATTCCTAATTTTGAACTTATAGACTAAAGGGAAGGCAGCCAGTAAACAGCAATCGCCGCCAACTTATGAGCTTCTTTTACAATGCACTCATAGTTCCAAAATGCAGAGTGTGAGTGCTTTTGCGGCAAAGGTTTACCAACATGAACATTCATATCCACAGTACAGCACGCTAATCACCAGACCACTTTCGGCCAATATAATGTATGATATGTGTTTTGTTTTAATTATTCCTTAGTGGTTGCTTGATAAAATTATTATGTAATATATATAAATTTTCTACTTTTGTAGATTAAGCGATGATATTTCGAACACTATTGTTTAACGATTTCGGGGTGGGATGAGTATAGAGATTTCGGGAAAAAATTCAAGAAAAACCGAATTAATGCTGTTTTTAATCCATCATCAGAGGCAGTAGGATCTTTTGGACTAGTTCAGCTAATGACGGTGCTTTTGCTATTCGCTGTAAAATTTCAATCTTTATTTGTTTTAATTCCAATTAATTTATTTTTTGACGTAAGTTGAGTCGCATTATGATGATACTGTCACAGGATTTCTTGCCTCCCAATTATCCAGTTTTTGGTTCTCTCTCACATATACAAGCAGTGAAAACATCCCTAGATTTCCACTCAACAAAGGTTCCTGCTAGGATCATAACAGAATAGCTACAACTATTATGATTTATTTTTTTCGATGAAAGAGAAGAAGAGAGTAGATATAGCTGTGGTATTCCTTAATTGTGATCAACTTACTTTTTATTCCACGCGTTTTCCAGACACTATAATTAACTGGGTATCGGTACCAATATAACATAAATCAGAGAATAATTATCAACTATGAAAAAATTTGATAAAGACTTTGTGGTTTGAAGGTAAACCTACAGATGCTTTGAATATCGCTTTCGTCACGTGATTTCCAAGAACTCATAGTTCTTGGAAATTTTTCTTCTGTATTATCATGTTAGGTAATTTGCTTATTTCAGTTTAATGTTTTTAGATATCTTTGCTTAGCTCTATTTTCCTTTTATTAATTCGTATAAAAATTATTTATAGCTATTGTGGAAAACAGAACCATCTTTCAGTCCTTCATTGAAATAATACTATCAGTCTATGGGAAAGATATATATATATAAACATACTCTCATTGGTTCTTTAAAAAGTTAAGCTCCGATATCCCACGCCATTCAGTGGCTCAGCGGCAAGTCTAAAGACATATATCACTAAAAACCGGGTTTAAATATGTATGTGAGAACAGCTCAAATAGCCTATTCCATAGCTTTATGTTTAACAAGATACAAACTGATATCCACATTTATAAAAATGATGAGTCAAAAATTAATACAACAGCAAATTAACTAACACAACAGTAACAGTAACTAGTTAATCTCAAATGATGTCTTCTTGGTGGATCAAAGGTAACTATGCGGACTTACAACGCTAAAATCCAGGATTGGATTTCTTTACACGAAGAAATCTCACAACCAGAGTGTTTCATACATATATATTACATCATATTTTTTGCATGTTGCAACATTTAATCTAAAGAACTGTCCAAACAACTTGGGGAAATATTTCATTTTCTATGTAAAATACATAGGAAACGACAGTAGTAATTAATGGAATGAACTTAAAAATAAAGAACGATATGTTGTGAGTTTGCACGTAATATTATTCACTGAAGAAGATTATATTTCTGGAACACTGCGAAACAAACATTATAATGCAGAAACCGTTAATGTCATTGGAAATGGGTAGTCACAGAAATAGTACACATAAACAATGAATAATGGTAACTATATAGTAAATTGATTAATGTCACAAGACATTTTCACAGAAAATACAAAAGAACAACTAATCTGTTGTGCAATACACTGGTATTTGTATGTGAGCACTTCACACAGAGCACTGTATTTTATTTTCTTGATACACTCCTAGTTTATCAACGTCTTATTGTGGAATATTCTCCTAGTTTATCAACGTCTTATTATGGAATATTCTCCTAGTTTATCAACGTCTTATTGTGGAATATTCTCCTAAATGTCCTATAATATTCCCCACAATTCATCTAAGTTCTTTGTGTGTCTTTTGGTCTTTTACAAAAACCGCAGAGCCCCAGGAATGTTCATAGCGAGACTTTGTGCATGCCAAGCCATGGCTGTCAGTGTTCCATCAACTTCTTTCCCGTCACGATATCATTTCATTGCTTTTGCTGAGTTAAAAAAGAACTGTGAAACCAAAATTATCATTTAATCCATCATATGTCAGTGAGTTATATGAGTTTTAGGGAATTCAACCCTTTATCAATAATCCTGGATAAAGTTTTTGTTTTTTTAGTTTTGAATTTTATATTATATCCTGTACAATGGCAAGTCGAAAAATAAGATTAAGGACGTCCCAATTGACCTATATTTACACAGATTTTAAGAGCAAGTGCCCTGAATCTTAATAATGTATTATTCTGTATTATTTAGCAGACGAGCTATTTTTCATATTTTCTTTGGCCAAAGTTACTGATAACTGGTGGAAATCCATGAAACCTGTCTAGCGCAGTGGCAAGTATTGAATCTAATGAGAGATTAGACTTCATATTTCTCTGTAGTATCTTAAACAGTTTTTAAATTAAATAATCTAGAATAATAAACTAGTATCAAATCCTATGTAAATATAGTTTTTTTTTTCGGTCAGTGAAAGACAACCAAAACACCTTTTATGCACTTACTATACCTTTGGGAGCACTGTCTTGCTGGAAGATGATCCCCAGTCAATGAGTCATGTTCCTGGAGAAATTGCATGATGGATCAAAATCTGCCTGTACTTGTCAGCAGCCAGGGTGTCATAAATTTTGTGTAGATCATCGACACCGTTGGTTTATATGCACCCCGAAACCTGTTCTGATGTATCTCCATACTTCACTGTAAATGTTTTACATAAACTATGATACAGTTCACCTCTCCGCCCTCGAGCAAACTGTGTCTGATTGTTGTGTACATGAACTTACAATGATAAAATCCGAGGTTCGAGTCATTGGGGTGGACAGAGTGCAGATAGCCCATTGAGTAACTTTGCTCTGAAACAACAACAACAGTTCAAAATTACAGACGGATATGCGCAGTTAGCTCTTGTTTAGCTATGAAATTTCTAAACAAACGGTCAAACAGAGTATTTCATTTTTCCATAAATCTGAGTTTATCATTGCTTAAAATCATATTTGTAGAGAGGTCTCTCGCTTACAACAAAATACGTGACAGTATTCAACAGTTGTAGCACGATTGTTAGAGATCAAGAAACATGAAAAGCAACCTTAACTAGTTTCATTACTTGGAATTCTACCTTACGAACGTTCCTTATTGTTAAATCTTTCTTCTTCTTCATCTTATATTTACCTCAGGTGGTTAAGGTAATATTTCAGCATGTTCACTGTAACGATATTTCGAATCTTTTTGGAAATTACATGTTTGAACAGTTATAACAACTGATGTGTACCACATAAATCTAATTATATACTTTTAGCTTAAACTTTCCTTGTATTTTACTAAAACAATATGGACTAAAAGTTAAACTTTGATGAATAAATTAAGAAAGTGACGTTTAAACATACTTATTTCAAGTGATATTTGTTTCTTATTGTCCATTGCAGAGAGTTTAAGCGTTGACTTATATATATATTAGAATATGTCAACCTCAACAGCACCCAATGGTCATCCGGATTAAATGTTTAGGTCAGAGAAACCCTACCCTTAAGGTTCAGATAGCTGTCCTTAATTTTGAACAACTGATCAAAGAGAATGTAGCCAGTTAGCAATGTCCACCGCCATAATGCCTTGAAACCAAATAGAGGGGTTTGATTTCACTCTTATAATATGAGAGTGTCCAGAAGAATTACAGCGCGAACTTTGGACCTTTTGATTTACAATCTCACATGCTAACTTGCCTTACCCAATCAAGAAAGAATAAGACACATTTGCATGTAAACTTATGTTGTCGTGGTTTACATAAAATCAAAACAAAGATTTTCTTAGGTCGGAGGAACGTACTTTTTCTCCTTCAATCTACGAAATATTATAGATTTTATAATTAAACTCGATTGGGTAATTGAATAAGGACATCATAATCCTACGCAGTATACAAGTAGTTAAAATTTGACATTACAATAAAATTCCAAATTGAAAAAAATCCAACTTCTCCTCTTGCGCAATTTAAACAGGATATACCGGTCTTGTGCCGGTTGATAAATATCGCGTGTTGCAGCTGAGTCAGTAGTTCGATATCAGAGTGATAACAGGAAAGATTGCTTTTGTTAACCATGGAAGTTAGCTTCATGTTCTTGGTAAGTATATTTTGAGAGTATCAGAAAGTTAAAAACTGTTACATTTAAAATTTCTTTTAGATTTCAATTGTTTTTGTTCTGAAATGTCTCCTAAGAGGTTTATAACAATAATTTTATGTTTATTTCTAAGGTTGTTTTTAAATAGCAACTCGGTTGTAAAGTCGGGTTGTATGAAATCGCGTTTGTTCAAATACAAAAAGTTTATAACAATTTTAAGATCCTGGGCAGAAGTATCATCTAATCCAGTATTTAGTATTCCACGTTAAGAAAAGCACTATAAAGAACCTGAAAGCGGATGAATTTGAAAAAAATCTTTTATAATCTGCCATGTACTTCTCCTCCAGTAAGTACAATGCATATTATAATAATGTCGTCAGTAGATGTTGTTGTTGTTGTTGTTACGCACAAAGCTACACAAAAGGCTATCTATTCTGTGTAAACCACGGGTATCGAAACCTGGTTGCTACAAGTATAAGTCCGCAGACATACCACTGTGCCACTCGGTGGCGTCGTCAGTAGAAGCATCGTGTTTTTGTCAGAAAATAGCAGCGTAGTGAATTAAGAGAACATTTAAGTACTGATAACAAATACTTTTTTACATACTTTTAATTCTCCTTTAGAAAAGTCTCAAGTACAGAGAAACACCTAACAAACTTCCTTGTGAAAAGTCTCAAGTACAGAGAAACACCTAACAAACTTCCTTATGAAAAGTCTCAATTACAGAGAAACACCTAACAAACTTCCTTGTGAAAAGTATCAAGTACAGAGAAACACCTAACAAACTTCCTTGTGAAAAGTCTCAAGTACAGAGAAACACCTAACAAAGTTCCTTGTGAAAAGTCTCAAGTACAGAGAAACACCTAACAAAGTTCCTTATGAAAAGTCTCAAGTACAGAGAAACACCTAACAAACTTCCTTGTGAAAAGTCTCAAGTAGAGAGAAACACCTAACAAATCTCCTTGTAGAAAAGTCTCAAGTAGAAAGAAACACCTAACAAACTTCCTTGTGAAAAGTATCAAGTACAGAGAAACACCTAACAAACTTCCTTGTGAAAAGTCTCAAGCAGAAAGAAACACCTAAATATTTAAATTATAGTATAACATATTCAAAAATATTTTTTGGAAGATTTTTCTTACATAGAAAATACACATTTCAAAGATTCTTTATGAAGGGTTAGAGTTATAGAAATGTTGTTCAATCAAAACGTTTGTGTGTGTGTGCCCCCAGAGGCACAGCGGTATGTCTGCGGTCTTACAACGCTAGAAACCGGGTTTCGATACCCCTGGTGGGCAGAGCACAGATAGCCCATTGTGTAGCTTTGTGTTTAGTTGCAAACAAACACAAAGTTTGTGTGAGATCTGAACCATAAATATCTGGTTGAAGGATCGTCGGAAAGGTAGATTGGAAAAGCATGTAATCGAAAGTTTATTTTGTGACATAATAAAACAACAAAACCAAACGAATGGATCCTTATAAAAGTCAAAATTATAAATAAATACACATCAAAGCACTGCGTTATCTACTTTTTCCAGCGCACATTATATAGTTTATTTATTTCAGAAACTCAATTTCAGACATACTGTAATTTCCTTAAGAGAAATATCTGACAAAAACTGATTAAAGATAGTAAAAACCATTTCAGTCAAATTTCATTACTTTTAAAAGTTTGGAAGAAAACTGTTATAAACAAGAACAACACGAAAGAAAAAGTAGACAAGAGATTTATAGTTTAGCCACAATATTTCAATACCGTTTCATTGACAAGAGACTCATAGTTTACATTCCCAGTCAAACGTGTTTAAAGTTAAAGAAATCACCTAGAAATTTCATCAAGCTATTAATGTGAGTGAAAAAGGCAGTTGATAGTCATTAAGTGACTCAACAATACTTTAAGTTCGCGATCATAGCCTGTGGACGTTTCACACACGTATCGTATATAAAAGCCTGTCCAATCGCTTTGAGCTATGACACTTATAACATGCAAATCGTTGGCTCTAAACAAGAATAGGGAAAACAAAGCACAATGTGAAAGAGTCACTAGAGGAATGAGATTGCTGGTATTGGTCTTTATGATTGTTACGAAAGTATTGAAGATTGGTTATATTAATTTATTTATTTTTCATCATAAACATGCAAGCACCTACTAAATGATAGTTTATTATTCTTGATAGTTTAAATTCAGAATTACTCTCATTAGACGTTTTCGAAGAAGGAATAAAGAATTTATATTCTGATGAACGTTCCATACAAGTATTTGCATATATTAAATACGGATAAATAAAACTATGACATAAAATCAATAAGCATTTCTTATTATCTAGTTTTTTTATTTTGTTTATATACCTATATATATATCTTACAACGATTTTTGTAATGGTTTTTATGTGCTCAGACCCATCTAAATTATTATCAATTGTAATACCCTAAAGCATTCCTATTGAACTATTTCCAAGCGCTACTAAATTCATATATATATATATATGTGTACTTCCTTACTATATTTTAACGTGAAAAAGTGTGAATTTAGTCTTTTCAGTCCTCACAAAACATCGCTATTATAAAGTCAATAATGTAGCCTATCTAATAACAAATTAACAACTTTAACTAAAGATGTCAGATTCTTATCATGAGCTATGATTCTGGTATTATCAGCAAATAAAAACGTGATATAGCATTAACATGTAGTAAAACAAAAGCAGTTCCAGGACAGAACACCTTGTGTATTTATTATTTTATCAGAATATTTATTACCAACTATAGACATTATGTTTAAAAAGCAACCCTTCACCCACCTATACATTCTCCCCTTATACTCGTGTTGTATATATAATTTAACAATGATTCATGTTTGACACAATAAAATGCTTTAAATTGATAGGAAGATGAAAAATAGAGAAAAATAACTCCTGGGAAGCTAGTCATTTAAGATATGGATGAGCAACTGGCAACCCCTAGACCATATTCAGCCCCCCCCCCCCACACACACATTAAAATAAATATTTGACCCATCAACAGCTAGCAGGAAGGCATATTAACGTACCAAAACTTTCGTTGTAGTGCCAAATTCAAACTTTTATTTATTCAAAATAATGTACTTAGTACATTATTTAATGTTTTCACAGTGAAACATATTAATGATTTATGAGAAGTAGATCTAACCTTTGGATTTTATTATTTTATTTCGATTAAAAACTGTAAAATAGGTATTTAGTTTTTTATTTGGGAAAGGTTCCCTATTTCATGCTACTGCGAGAGAACTACTTATTTTGGAAGCTAAAATAAATGTATGGTCTGTCAAACTTTAATTTATTTTATGTACTATAGTGTGTATTCCCAAACTGGGTCTTTTCTGTTTCAGGCATCGCGTTAAAATAGAAAAAAAACATGTAGTTTTTAGTGGTGATTTCAGAAATATAAATTAAAATTTGGAGAAATCAAAATAAATATTTCACATTTTTTTATTTTGCTAAGTTAGGCCAGTTAGCCTAATTAGATGCTTATTAAAATAAAATATAAATTTAATTTAAAAAAATCTTAAAAAAATGGAAATATTTTCCCATTTTTCCCCCTTTACAAATCAATTTTCCAAATTTTAATTTATATTTCTGAAATCAGCAGCAAATCGAAAGCACTTGGAATGTGGTTAAGAGACGTAACAAGCGACATTGTGGAACCAATCGTAACATGATTGACTCGTATCTTTGCGAGTTCGTTTGGCGTCGTAGGCATGAAAATGATGATCTCTTCAAGCAAATATTGAAGAATATTTCTGAATTTTCACATTGAATTTGTTAAATTGTTACTAGATACTTTGTACTGTCTTGATGTTTCGCAATTCTATAAAATACATAGGTATATAAGTAATGTTAAAAGTACTTCTTTAATTTATATTTCTAAAATCCCCATGAAACACTACATTAATTTTTTTTCTATTTGGACGCTGTGCGTGAAACAGAAAAGATGCCCCAAACGTTCTTAGCGTAAACCCACGGAATGTTCATCATTCTGATTGAGGCCTCATTCAATGAATCGATATATACTAAGTACATTGACAGTGCTGTGTATTTGATACGACCCTTCTGATACTTCCTTGTGGCCCCCCAGGGTTCGCGTCCCACAGTTAGGAACTCCTGTTCTGCAATATGCAAAAGTTAGCCATCCCTGATCTGGTATGCCCCGTTTAGTTTATTTCAATGAAATGTTGGTCATTATGCGTATTATTATTGTATTACACCTATTAGAAACCTTTTCCATCAATTTCACCACCTGGTTTCTGCTATTTACTATATATGTGTTTGAAAATTTGTTAATCGTGCTTTAGTTTTTAATTTAGAGATTTCCATATTGTGACGGATTTATTATTATATATTTATTTTAATATCGATGTTTGTTTAAATTAAATTTATATTTAGAAATGTACATAACTTGTACTGTCAATATGTATTGCGAAACTCCTGCCTGTTCTCTAAAGTTGTAGAA